CCCTTAGCTACACCGCACACCTTGCCTACTAGGTCCTCTTCTCCAAAACATGAAAAAAACTTTGGATTGAGGAATGACTCACGGAGAACTAATTCACACAAGAATGAGTGAAACTTCGGGCGCAGCTTGTACAAAGGCATGCCTGCCTCAAGCGAGGCCGCAGCCTCCTTCATGTATGCTTGAGCATACAACATCCCCAACCTGAGTCAACCACGCACGCCCAGAAAATTGAAAAGCCAAAATTGCAGACGCCGCATGCAAACGAAGTTCTGATAATGCTGGCAAAGAACTGTCTGGAGCGTTCGCGCTGCTCCTGTGTCAGCCAGAGCCCGGCAGAATCCACCTGCGTGGACCACTCGTTGAGCGCCCACACAATGACACTTGCGTAGGCCAGCTCCGGCACATCGGTGTCCTAAGCTCATCGTGTGCATTTTTTCAGCCGTTTGCTGAAAAAGCTATATATTGTGTCGTTTGCTCCAAAAAGGGCCTTTTCCTTTTAAAAGTGCTGCTTCAAAATCTTGCCAAACCGTGGTCGGCAAATGTCGCTTTTTGGTCGGGGGATGTCGCCTTTGGGTCGGGCAACGTCGCATGTTCGTCTTCATCCTGGTTTCGCAAAACAGCAAAATATGCAAACATGCACTGAGGCAAAAAAAATGTGTCGTTTGCCCCAAAAGGAGCCTTTGGCCCAAACAGCACAACAAGGGCATACTTATAGGAGGGCCCAGGTATATGCCTGATATTTTGTAACAGCAGGGTGCGTCAAAACGTACCATGTACGTGCTTTGCCAATTCCTGACCAGCGTCAGCCAGCAAGTGTGCCAGGTAGCAAATCCTGAGTGTCTCAATTCAGTACTCAATTTGTAATCAAATATGCACACAAATGAAAACATGCATCGATATACCCCTCTGTTTGATAATGCAGCTAAACGGCAACACTTTGTTGGCCCACCCCTTGCTGTACCCAAGCGGGTAGTCCAGGGACACTGTCTCAACGCCCAGTTTTTGCAGCGACAATTCCTCCACGCCGCTGGTGTCCAAGCGATGTCGCTTGCACCAGTCCCACAAGCCCAGCGTCAGCTCGTGCAGGCGATCGTCGTAGGTCTTCATGTGCTGAAACTTGGGCAGCCACCTCGCAGCCAACATGCAAATTGTCCCTGCTGTGTCCCGGCCAATCCCCAGCCACACCACGTGGAGCACATCTGGCCACTCCATTTCTGGAGTCCAGCCGCGCAGGTCCCACAGCCTTGGCTGCTTTGCCGAGCTCATTTTCAATGAGTCATATATACAGCCAGCCCATGGTAGCCGCCTCATTTTCCTCTCCCGCCTCCACCCAATCAAACTCGAGCACATGTATACGTACTGCACCATGTTTCTTGTTTGGCGGCATCCATTCATAAAACCAAGCGCACACGTGCCGATCGTCATGACAGCATCCATCGACCAGCTGGGTGTGATGCTCAAAACAACTGATATTCAAAATGTCCGCGTCAAATTGTCATATGACATACGCCAATATGGCTGCTGACAAGAAGCGCGATGGATTGACCAACGCCTTGGATGAATGCACTGGCCGCCCAACCACAAAAATCACTGGGGTGACAGCCGACAGCAGCCCAAACCCTAAGCCTATCGATCAGCCGCGCAGTATTAATACGTACATGTTTGGGCAACGGGGTACCATTACCATATCTGACAAGCAGCCACTGATCACGGCCTCCGCGACCTCGGTCGGCTCGTTCCAGGCGCACTGCACCGTGTCTGTCCATGGGCGATCATGCCGACCCGCGTAGCCTTGGATTCCGAATGCATGCTCTTGTTTGCGGCAAGCGTCAAAAGGTTGTTTCAACCATCGGCTTGAAAGCCAAGCAGCAGCGCCGGCAAATGCCATCAGCTCGGCCATAATGCCGGGGCTCGCACAAAAATTCACGTTTCCACTTCCAGTCACCTTTTCCGGCGACGAGGTGAAGGGTGTGGCCACCCAATCTCTCCTCTGCTGGTGGTGCAGCAAGCTCGTTGAACATCCTGCGCCAGGGAACGAGACAATGACATGTGTAACACGGAATTGAAACACACATGGATCGAAACTCAAATGGCATATACGGTCCGCACTATGTGGCGCTGCATGTGCTGCACCGTGAGGTTGCATGCGCCGTCGAACGCGTGAAGATGGCTGGGGATTACCTTGGTACAAGGACATGTCTAAACAAAAAAAGAAGGGGGCGCTCGCGTGTGACCTGTGCGTGCAAAACCATACGTGCAGGAGTGTTCGCATGTCAGCCAAGGGTCGGCGAAAACGAACTTCGACCGCCAGTGCGCCCCATGTGTCGCCAGCGGGGAAAAGCTCAGAATCAAGATGTTCTTCCGGCGTTTTCCTTCTCCTTCATCCCCGTGCAAAGTGCAAACAGCTGCGCGAGCTCGATCACGCTCGCACCAGCTTTGTACTGGATGCGACCTGGACGACTGTAGATTGGTTTGGTGACCCAAGTACTAAAAAAGTCCT